ACTTGATCCCACTGTCCATGTGGCCGACAAAAACGTCCAACAGTGCCAGTCCCAGTGCCAACCCCTGAGGAACGCCACTCGTCACTGTGCATGTACACATAATGCATGCTAGTGCAGCTATTTACTGATTTTTTTGTTTAGATAATTCTCATCTAATTCCAATTTCTTTTGAAAAAGATATTTTAATTTTTAAGAGGCAGCTGTGATTGCTAATGATGAAGCTGGAAGATAGTTTCTTTTTAGTGAAGCTCTATACGTTGCTCAACCTTCTGCATAATAAGTTTTAAAGAAAGATTTTAAAAGGGAAAGAATACTTTGTGTGTACTTGTCTTTGTAAGCAAAGCTTCCAAGAGTCTTTTGGTAGCCTGATCATGCATCAGAGATGAGGTAGGCAAGACTAAATTGTGCAATGACATAGACAACTTACTCATAATGAAGAATGGAAGGCAAAAAATTTTTAAGCCTTTTTTGGAAAAAAAAAAAAAAATTGCTTTCTTATAATTGGCTGTGATAAAATCTACAGCTTAGGTCTAATAAAAGATACTTATTTTAGGTGAACAGGAAGAACATACAGTGTGTGAAGAAACTAAAAATATATATATATTTTATAGAAGTTTCTAGTACGATCAGACTTCCAACAGCTTTCATTACAAAATCAGTCTTGCAGAAAGTTGTATCTGTGTTCCTGACAGTGACTTGATTTTAGTGGTGTGGTTTTTTTTTTAAATGAGAGGGGAGGTGGGATTCTAAATTATACTTGCTGAGTGAAAAATGAGATATTTAACTTAAATTGCCTTGATTACAAGTAAAGTTTTAATGAGGTCAGTGCAGCCAACAAATAAAAAGAAACTTTGATTCCAGATTCCATCCATGTAACTGGAGTCCTGAAATCCTGAGTCTTCACAGATCAGTCACGGATACTCTAATTGTTTCTCAGATGGCCTGGGCCCAGGAATGTGTAATTTTTCCCCCTCCTATTGTAGCTGCAAACAGTATGGGAACGAGGTAAACTGTCCACTGATAAAATGACTCGTGTAAGGTCAGAAATCGGAGGGCATTCCCATTATAGCTGTGGAGTGTTGTAAAGTCAGTTCTGAACAGAATGTTAACACTGAGATATTCTAAACTATTAATGTAGGCAATGGTGTTCTTTCCTGATGCACTTACTCTTAAATTGATTGTTTAAACTGTACTTAATTGTATTAAGGAGAAGGATAACACAAATCATGCCAAAAAGCTCTGTTAAAAAGGAAGGGAAACTTCATACACAAATGATTTAGCAAGTAAACTACTTATTGAACATACATTAAGCATTTTTGATGTGTGAAATATTACTGGAAATGCATTTCCTGTATTTTTCTTAATTTATATAAATGGGTGTTCAACCACATGGTAATTTTAATGCTGGCTTTGTTTAATATCTTACAGGAAGCTTCAAAAGATGGTGCATGACATCAAGAAAAATGACAGTGGGATAATAAACAAGTTCAAAAAGTAAGTTTGAAATGCCAGCCTTAGTTTTATCAATGTGGAGAAATTCAGATTGCTAGCATAGTGTATAGTACTTTATATATAGTGTTATTCTAGAGGGATATGCTTCAGTCCAGACTGTGACATGCCGAATTGTCATCAGTATTATGAGTATCACAAAGTAGTTGCAGAACCAGTCTCCAACAGGAGGTTGCGTTTGTAGCCCTGAAAAATGGTATTTGGGTAAAATACATTTTTCTTACATTTTCTTTGGGAATGATCATTGCTTGTAGTTTAAGTGTGTGCCTTTCTCCTAGGGCCACTATTTAGGCTACCTGCTGCAATTAAGTTTTAATTTGAGCCCCACCTTGAACCAACTGGTCAGACATCATAGTTAGAATTCCCATAAAAATGCCAAGTTCACTTGTGTTTCAGTGCTATAAAACAAAACCCAGCATTACCTAAATCCTTATTCCAGTAAGAAATGCTAAACAGCATGCATATTGATGTCACATGTATACAAGTATCATAAAATATTCATGTATTTATACATAAAATGAAATTCCAGTAATTCTGCATTCTTGTCAAATGAATACACCATTCACTGTTTCCAGTCAAACATCTATTTAAACCAATTAGCTACTTAGCACACTTTTTCTTTTTCTTAATGCAATAGCTTATTTGCATTGAACTTCCACTTGGATAAGATTTTCTCATTCAGATGTCTTTCTTTACATGGGTCTGACAACAGAAGTACTAAGTACTTTTAAAAGTTAATTAGTACACAGTATTTGCAGTGTTTCCAGGACAACCATATTAAATTCTAGAAATACAGCTCTCGTACATAAAAAGGACATATAAACGTTGTTTAAAATTGTTCTTAAAGAGTGACCATCGTGGTTCAGATCAAGAAAAAGAAGTATGGTTTTAACAAGAGCTAATTTTAGGTATATGCAAAGTGGCCAATAAGCTGGTGGGAGAAGCGGTAGGGCTCTGCCTGGTTTGGCTATGTAATTGCTTCACAAAGCTGGGCTGGCTACAGCTACTGCCCTTGCTGCCAGCCAGGGAGGCATCCCAGAGGAGAGGGATGCACTTCTAGGAGCAGCAGTGACCACCTGGCTCACCCGTTCCCCAGGCAGGAGGATGTAAGCCCTCCTTTGTGGCCTGTTTATCACAGCTGTGTTTCTGGCCACAAACCTTGAGCAGGCTCTGATGGTAACACCTGATACAACAGATAGATTCTTGAGATCACTTTTTTCCTTTACTCATCCTCTTTCACTAGCACTGCTGCAATTCACAGTAAATCACAGTCACATGGTATATTTTGGGCAACCTGGTTTAGCGGAGGGTGTCCCTGCCCACAGCAGGGGGATTGGAACTAGATGATCTTTGAGGTCCCTTCCAACCCAAACCATTCTATGATTCTATATGTACTTGTCATTTCCACACAAGCACAAAAGCAAATTTTTCCCTTAAAATGACCCTCTTTCAACTACTTGAATCTTTAATTTAATCTAAGAGTGTTTTTGTTTTTAACACAGTGCGTATGTAAACAGACCACTGTGTGCAGACATCTGTCTGCAAAAAAACTCATCTTTTCACCTGGAACCTGCTCACAGAGAAGCGCTTCTAGGTTGTCAAGGCTTTTGGTAGGTTTTTGGAGGGGATGGAGATTGGGGGAGGGGGGTTTGTTGTTGCCTACTTCACAGTAGTAGTTTAAGTGTAGTTAATGTTAATAATGTTATGGTGGGTCCAGTTCAAATGCCTCAGACAGGAAGCAGATGGCAGAAACAACAAAAGCATCTGATATTTATAATTTGAGGCAACAAATTGTCTCCCATAGTTGCCTGAACATGAATTCTGATGTTAATCAGTATTGCTCTGACTGTGTGTCCTTCCCTGAGAGTAAGAGGGGAAGGACAGACAAGGGAAAAATAACAAGAACTAAATGTAGCTGAAGCTGGGAAGGTCAGAGGTGCCATCATTAAATGTCAGATACAAGATTGCTGCTATAACGCTGCAATTCTTTGATTCTCTCAAGATTAAAAAAAAATCCACAAAAAAAGAGCAGGCTTATAAGAACTCTCTTAATGTATGACTGCAGCACAAAGTGCACATTTCACATCCCCCAGCTATAAGAGTACAAATTGAGATGTTAAAAAAAAAAAAAATCTGATACTTCTGTGGTTCATCTGAGTCATATTAATCTATTCTGCAATTATAAAGATCAGAAACTTACTCTTATTTTTTTTTTAAATTGAAGAAAAAATTCTCACATTTGCACATGACTTCAGAACTCAAATCTTGAACCCAGCATGTAATGAGACTTGCAATAAAAACATGAGTTGACAACACTGATAAGGATATGTACAAGAGATGTCAAGCTTTGCAGAATTAGAACTGGCTGTATTTCTCTGTGTCCTTTGGAGGGGCTTTTTGTTTGATTTTTAGTAGATGCTTTTTCTAAAAAATGTGTTTATCCAGTTGATCACTTCCTCCATTTCAGTTATACAATTGTTTTATTGAATGTCAAGGATCTAAAAATGACTGAAGCAGAAAAAGTTGCGGTTAAAAAAAAAAAGGTTTTATGTAGCACAGATTTGGAATTTGTCTATATGCTGGAAAGTACATCATTTGGGCTCAAATTCAAACCTGTTATAAGTAGAAATAATTTTAGAGAAGTCAAATAGTGTGCTTTGTTATTCCAAGCCTGAAGTTGTCACACATGTATACTGTAAGCCTCTGCTACTGAAATTGAAAGAATGATCAAATACTAATGAAATACATTTAACTTATTACCAGTATTTGTTAGGACATTTCTAAAATCTGGATTGGTTCTTGATTATGCAGAAAAGTAAGAGAAGTTCTTGCATCATGTGTCTTGCTCTCCAGTCTAGTTCATCTGTGGGGTGCAGGTGGGGAGGGGTATGTCTACTGTCCGTGTGTGTCTTAAAGGTCTGCAGAAAGCAGTCTGAACAGTGGTGATAACAGGAAAGAAAACTATGAATTTTCTCCATTGCTTACAAGTTCCTGTTGTTTATTACCTATCCTGACTCAAAATTTTCTGACAGTAAAAATATCGCCCACTGCAAGCTACCATTCACCTGCTCGCCCGTAATCACATGCAAAAGTGTTTACAATACTGGAGTCCTAGCTGCTGTGCAGATCATGATGTCACAGAAGATTATGTACTCAGGTGTAGAAGCTACAGGTATAGCCAAAGCTGTATAAACAATGAGAGCTGGGGGCATTTTTTCATATTCACATTCTTGTTAACAGGGAAGTAAAAAAGAAATCACAGGTTTCACTCTGTGGGATGGTTTCCTTTGCTTGAAACACACTGTAAAGACATAGCACTCAGCTGTAAATCATAAGCTTTAAGCATCTAAGCTTCACTCAGTGGAATCTTAGCTCCATTGAAGTCGATGCTAAAAGTCACACTGCACATACAACAAAGTCAAGATTTCACCCTAAAGTTTTGGTGTGTGCTGACCTACTGTATTGAATAAGAAACTAGAGGTTTGGGTTACTCTGTTGCAATATCCCATCCTGTCAAAACTTCCTTGGCAAAGCAATCATGCACTTGTAGTTATTCATGTAACTGCAAACAATCCAAATATGTTTGTTTCTTGAAATCACATTTGCCATGTGACCTGAAAAATGGAAAAATGATGCACCTTCATCTCATCTGCTCTACCGAGCTTTTGTAGTTGGATAAGTTTTCACTTTGAGATTTGTCTGGTCCATTTTCCTATACCATTTATAACTTAGGTGGTAACTTCAGGCAGAAAAATGGAATTGTGTCACTAAATGTCTCTTCAACTTGCATAGTTGCAACTAAAAGACGTCCATGATCAAACTCTTGGCAGATGGAAAAATGGTATTTTATGGACTAAATAATGAGAGAAAAGTACTAAAATCAAGCTGTACCACACTTAGAAAGAGAAACCAGGGAAAAGTATAATACCTAATTTTTACTGTATTCTGAAGAAATGTGAATTTCAGCGTGTAGCTGAATAGAATGGTTTGAGTGCCAGGGTTTTTATTAATACAGCAATATTTCATCAAAGTGAAGATAAATAAATCACAGCTATATGCTATTTCACTGCCACAGCACATTGTAATGAAAATGTGTGAAAGATTAGTAATAACACTTTAAAAAAAAAAGTTTCAGATTAATTTTATTTTGTACAATCATCAGATACTTCCAAAGCTATAACAGACTATTCGACTAGGTCATGAGAATACAGTTCAGGAAAAGTTTATCTGTCAGCTGGATTGCACCTGTTAGGAATTCTGAAAAAAATTTTGGCAACATTCAATTAATTTATTTATTTATAATTTAATTATCATAAACACAAGTGTAATGTTCTAGTGCACTTAAGACTAATACATACTATAAAGACTCAATACATATGTCAATTTAATTTTTGTACACCCTATTAAGCAAAAAGTGGTTTCTAAGAAAGGAGTGGACTCTGTACAGAGTTAACAACAAAACAAGTAAAGGACTCTTTTCAAAAGAGAGCTTTTGGGCACATCTTCTATGCTGGGGGAGTGAGCAGAAACACTTGTGAGGAAATGCATCTGTAGGAGAATTAAGTGCTGTGGTTAAAGGGCTACTACTATGTATGTTTGGTTACTTTTCTGGATGCAGCCTGTTTAAAAAAATAAATAGCTGTCGTTAGAGCCGAAAATCCAGACCTCTGCTGCAGTTTATTTAAAAATTCTGCACGTAGTGCAGGAAAACACAAAAATGTGATGTTAACTTTAAGTATATGATTAATACTTGCAATTCCGATAGGACTCCTTACAGGAGTAAAGTTAAACCCATGCCTAAATGCTTTGCTGGACCAACCTCAGCATGCTGCAGAGGGAAAATTTCTGAATATATTGGGTTTTTTAAATGAAATAGTTTAGTCTCCTAGAAGTTATTGTGAATTTTTGTACATTGCATTCTGTTCTTGTGTGAGCAGCATCTAGACCCCATTACCTGAAACGTCTCAAATGCTACCTGGTTATTTGTTGAAACTAAAATATATATAGTAAGATGTGTTACGTTGCTTTTTAAAAGATGTAAACATACTCTTAAAAATGTACTTGGATTTTATTGAGTCCTTTAGAACTGAAATGTATCGGAGATATTTCAAAATCTCCAGAAAATTACTTATTTTCTATTTAACTTTAGAAAAATGCTAGTGCCATTAAAGTAAATGGAAACTTGAGTAATTTAATTGTGTTCTATCACAGTTAACAGAGATACTTCATCACCTGTAACTTAAGTCCAGAGCAGAGTAGCACTAGAATATTTTACTTGGAAATTGCTTTTGCTATAATTTTATATAACTCCATTAAAAGATACGTTAGGAAATCATTGTGTCTTCCACTTAAATACGTATGCTCAGTTGGATGGCATTTGATTCTTTTGCTCCATTGTCATTAACTTTAGGGGAACAGGACAGAGTCAGTTGTCACTCTGCAAGCTTCTATGTGTATAACATCAGGATCTGAAACAGCTAGGTAACCACTCCTTGGCATAGGGCTTATGTCTTTTGAGCTTGCATTGTGGTTTGTACATTGGGTAAGATCTGACTCTTGCAAAATGAAGCACAAATTGATGTCAAAAAAAGTCTGGATTTCAGTTCTGGCACTCAGTAAATCATACCAGTACAGTGAGAATTAATTTATTTTTTTAAGTGGATTTGAATTTTAGAATAACTAACATATTTGAAGAGATTCTAGCAAATATAGATGTGGCCATGAACTGTTTCAGTTCTGTGATAGAAACATTATTTCTTTTCTTCTATTGATATTCAGGTTCCAAAATGAACAAGTGGCCTTAATTTGCAAAACTGGGAAAGATACTTGGGATCGGTATGCTATTTCAGAGCTGCACAATGGCATGATAGGCTGCTTAGACACAGACCTCTGTTCTGTGCTTCATATGCTTTTGTTATAACATATTTACATTTTCTGTTGGGGCCACTGCCAGGATTTACAGGGCCTGGGACAAAGTGCTGAAGTCTTCTGCTAAGCAGTTTGGAAATGTATAATGTGGCTTAAGCGACATGCTTTACACTGTGACCCAGTCAGCCTCTTATTATTGCCTCAGTTCTGCTATTTTCCAAGTCTCCACCATCTCTGAATAGCTCACAATATACATGTTGCAAAGTACATTAATAGAATTTGGTCTGTCCTCCCTAAGACCTGAGATCTACCCTGGCAGTGGCCCTGGGTTTTTCTTTCTAACATGCCTGTGCTAACCTGGACAGAAGACAACAGCAGGGCTGTTGAGAATGCTTTTTAATTTATTGTTTGTACACTAAGTTATATTATGCTGCAGGAAGTTGAAGACTTAGAGGAGGCAGCTATCCATCATTAGTGTTGTTAGTAATGAACAAAGCAGGTAAACAAAAGTAATGTGCCTAGACTGGGTTTGGGGGAGTTGAGCTTTAGCAATGCCTGCACCATTTATTCATTGATTCATGCACGTGCATTTGTTTGGTGACTATCTGAACAACAGAATTCCATGAACTCAACTCACAAGTAGCCAAGGCGTTTCTCAAAACAGATGAGAAAAGTTTGTGGATTGATGTATTAGGGCCAGCATGCCACCACCCTGAGTTACACTGGGGACAAGGACACATAAGCAACATGCTCAGGACCTAAATACTGAGTGTCAAATTCTTGTGGTAAAGCAAAATTTGTAGACATCGTTATTGCTCAGAGATCACAAGAAAACATTTTAAATTCTTTGTGGATTTTTTTTTTAAATAATTTGCTTATATTTGCAAATGAATTTGTTAGGACCTGATTGAAGAATGACTGAAGCCATCAATTCAGTGGACAAAGGTTCAGGTCCCTGGTGAGGTCTCATCAGTGCTACAGGGAAGCTGTCGATACTTAAAAGTCACTTGAAGAGTCGTTTTGATGTAAATTGTGTTAATGTTTTATATGGCTACAAAAAGCAAAAGGTTTTTTCTCTTCAGATGCATAAGTCGTTTGGTTGGTTGGTTTCGTTTTTTACAGGGTAGTGAAATAATTGATATATCAGCTGACTGTAATTCAGCGTCTTGCCTAGACAGCTGCAATTTAGCAAGCAAGGAGCATGTATATGTATATACACACACACATATACGTGTATGAATAGGGGTACACACACATATATATGTGTATACACGTATATTACATATATGTATACTCCTGTTTACTAAATATATATATACAGGCACATATATATACACACACACACATATATGTAGCCACAAAGATCCTTTCAGTATTTCCATAAAGTATCTTTTGATTCATTTGGTATTACAAATGTCGTTATAACAGTATTTACCAAAAAGGGGGCATAACACCATAGTTATAGTAAGTGTAAATAGAATCTGGCCCCGAGAGACCTGGTATACATTTAAACATTAATCTGAAAATAAAGTGCATTCAAAATGATAGTTATAAAAATAGGACTGGAGAGTGCTACACCACTGTCTTACGCCATAGTCTTAGCAAAGCCTCTGTGAGCCTGAACAGATTTTCATCTTCAGATAGATGTGCATTTATCTCTGACTCCTATGTTATCTGTTTCTGCATTGGAAGTGAAGAGGAGGGTGGGCGGGCAGGCAAGGAAGCTGTTCTTTCAAAGTATATTCTCAGAAAAAAAAAAAAAAAAAAAAAAATCTCAGATTAGATTCTGATTTCTTATCTGTTTCTAGCTTTTCACAGCATTCTCCTGCAGCTATTTGCTAAGCATCTGTGATGGTAATCTGTATTTCTTCAGCTGTAGGTATCTTTTGTTATCAGCTTTTTTATGTGTCTGGCTAATGCTTCTTTCTAGTGAATGTTACTTACTAGATCATAAATGCAATAATTATTGTTTACAGGCTAAAAAAAAAGCCTCCACCAAGTCTACCACAAAGGGATTATGCTTCAGGTAAGGCTGTATTAATGTAAATTTAAACTGTGTGTCTGTGTATATTTGATACCTATACGCCTAACGCTATTTCAGCTATACATTTCCTCATAATTTGTTTTTAATGAGAAGAGTAAGCTGTTATCAACAACTCTGAAGGCAGTTCACATCTGTGAAATGATAGGCAAGCAAAACATGGCAAGTTGTCCCAGTATGAAAAAAAAAAAGTAGGATGTAGCTACTCTTTCAAAATCAGTATTTACCAGGGTTCTGCATGTAGGCTGCTCTAAAAATGGAGGAGAATTTGCATTCGGTCCCCCTCTGCCAGATATTGTGATGTGAAAGTAAACAGGAAAAAATTGAACAAACAGATCATTACAGATTCAGAATCTTAATACTATTAATGTGACAATGATGATGTCATGAATTATCTTAGGTAGAACTATATTTGCTTATCATACAGCACTGCCTGCAAACTAGTTCATGCCCGTTCTTAGAAGTTAACAGCTGTCTTGTTAAGGAAACAACAATATGAAAACTGCAGCAGAGAGGACAGAGTTTGGAAGTTGTCAGGTAATTGTTCCATGTTTAACGTAAACACTTGTAATTAGTGTGCTGTCTTGGAGCTTTAACCGAGAAACAAGAAAGTGCAAGGCCCACAGGTCAGTGATAGTTCCATTATGTAGAAATTGTTACTCCTACTGAAAAATGAGATCCATTAGCAGGACATTCTGGGTAAAGTGCACGCTCTGCTGTTCAGACCGTGTGCAGTTTGCCATTTTCTAATGCTTTTCAACAACTCTGAAACAATTTATCAAAAACAAGCAAACAGGCATTTAATTTACTATTCAGTCCAAACCAGATGTGTTGCTCTGAACTGTTTAGGAAATTTTGACCACTCTTTCTTAACTGAATATGATAAGTATAGATTGAAAAAACAATCTAAGATAAATGTTTATGTTCACTATTCCATCTCCTTAAATAACTCTGATGTTTGGTTTAGAACATGCAGACAATGAAGAGGAACAATGGTCAGATGATTTTGTAAGTACATATTTTGGGGTAGTAGTAGGTTACTGTAGCAACAAGATAGCACAAGCAATCATAATAAAAGTTTATTTTTTAGTCATCTGCTTGTGGTTGAACGTAATACTACTGAAATCTTATCTTATTTGTTACACTCAGAAGCACTGTCAGTGGTAGCTATGGATGCTAAGCTTTTTGGGTAAGTAAGCATATGGCATCAATTTGAGGGATGACTTACTGGTTTCTGAAACTGTTGTTCAGTTTGAGATCTTCTATTTGGGGGAGGGAGGGTGGGACAGATGAGGAGGGGAAAGCCACTTCTTCCTAAAAATGAAAAACTTCTGATAAGATTTTAGCGAACAATAGAATGAAGCAAGTCATGGTCATCAGCCATGTAAATAGTGGTACAACCATCAGCCTGAAGCGACTGGCTTCATTCTGGAGTAAGATTCCAAGTACCCTTTTTAATAGGAAAGGGAGAGGAAATGACAGGACAGATGAAAAGTCACAGCTGGAGCTAGGAAGGAACTATCCTGTGAAGGGAAAGAAGCTGTTGGTCCGTAATTTGAAGACTGAGCTCTTGGTGTGAAAGACTCCTTGGAGACAGCAAAGAGACAGGGAGCAGGAAGCTCCTGGGAGGAGCAGAAGGAGAGCCAGGCAGGAGTGTCTATTTGTTTAGAGAGGGAGAATGAAAAGGGAATGTAACGTGTGCTTTTGAAGATACATTCTTGTAATTTGGTTAAATATCCTTACAGGAGTACCATTGTGTCATACACTGCTATGAAGCTGTATGTTATGAGATGAGAAATGGGAAGTTCTGTCTTTCTAGGACAGTGATTATGAAAATCCAGATGACCACTCTGACTCTGAGATGTATGTGGTCCCCAGTGAAGAGAATCCTGATGACAGCTATGAGCCGCCTCCAAGTGAGCAGGAGAAAAAGAAGATTCCCTCTGCATTCCCTATTTCTAGGGGTGAATACGCAGGTAGTTATGGAATCATTGACCATGTCAGCTTGATAATTGCCTGTTTATCAGTACTAGAAGAGGAGAAGGCCTCAAATGGGCTAACCTGTCCTTTCCTCAAGAGTTTCCTTTTAATTCTGACAACCAGGTCTTCAGCTTTCAGGGGTATGGTTTGCTATTACAGCATGAAACAGGTTCATATTGCTGGTAGTGATGTTTAGAATTTTAATGTAATGTGTCCTAGAGACTTTGATAGACATCTACTAACTACACATTCAAGCAAAGATATAGGAGATATCACTAACTTGGCTCCAGAGTCATCCACATATTTTAATGCAGGAATTTGTACTGAAGATTACGTACATAAGACTAGACAGGTCCCTTAATCTTTTCTGACAGAAGGACAGAAAAGGACAAAGCAGCCCAAATATTCACTCTATATTGTCCTTCAAGATTGGTACTGAGGAGGATAAATATCCTGAAAAACAGGACAGGATCAAGATTTTTTTACATCAGTCCGATGTACAGGCATTTTTTCTTCCTGTTTTGATTCTTGTCAATCACAGGCAGATCACACTGAAGTGAATGAAAGTTACCTTCAGTTAGATGAGGATTT